AACAAGCATAAGGGGATTACTATTAATATCTAGAGGAAGTGTTCTTTTTTATGTTCAACCTCCTCTAGCTTACAAGGATTCCCCCTTTTATAGAAGATAGTCATTACCAAAAAATAATAAAATAAAATATATAGTGGAAGACCCATGATGACTTGTCTCTTCCTTGATTCCCGCCAAGATTCTCTTTGTTGGTGTAGTTGCAATGGCTCTTGTTTGTGAGCTCGATACTAGCTCGAACTCGTTACTGGGTCGGGCCCTTCGGTCTTGGATCGAGTTCGACCTTCGAGATGGGCGTCACGCATTTTCGACCTCGAAGCAGTGCCTTGCGGATCGATTCGGTCACGGGCTCGATAGGATTATCGAGTCGCCTCCTTGGGCGACCTTCGGCTCGAGGTTCGTTAGTACCGACCTCAGAGGTCACTCCCAAAATCTCATTCCGACTTCTTAACACTCGAACTCGATCGAACGTAGGAAGGTCGAAATCTATTTCGACCGTATACACAAACCAATTAGGTCGGGATTTATTTTCCAATACCAAACCAAATCAAACCAAACCACATCGGGTTTTTTTTGGTTTGACTCGAATTATTAATTTGGTGGGATTTATCGATTTTCTTTGTACACCCCTAGTTAGGAGCTAAAACTAAAACTTAAGAGACAAAGAGTAGGAACCAAAATATTGACTTGAATTAAACCAAACAGCTCTGAAGAAGAAAATTAGATGAGAAGAAGACACGAGTTGCTTATCATATAATAATATAGAAAGATTGACATCATTTTCTTTGGTAGGTTTTGAAAGGTTCATCTGTTTGAGGATGACTAAACTTTCCAACAGCAATGAGGATGCGGTTGAACTGGTAAAAAGGAAATCCATTAGGAAAGAAGGTTCTTTGAATGTACCAATATCTCATTATAATCTTATGTCAATTGAAATTATTTTTTATAACCGTAATGCCCGAGTTAATTTGCCGGTATTTTAACTAATTCCAGGGCACCTATTTACTTCCACAAGCACAAATATTGAGTATTTTAACTGTACCAATATCTCATTATAATCTTATGTCAATTGAAATTAGTTTTTATAACCGTAGTGTTCGGATTTGTTTGCCGGTATTTTAACTAATTTCAGGGCACCTATTACTTCCACCGGTACAAATATTGGATAACTCTATCCATCAAAGCGTGGATAGACGGAAGAAATCCCTTAGTATTTTTACACTATTGAATTTGGACATAAAATCTCATGATTCTCAATTCACTTCATTCATGACCACTGTACATACACTTGTTCAATTAAAATTATTTTTCTCCAACCACAATCCTTGATTTGGCTTACTTCAAATATTATTATTATTGGTTCTAAGACTAGGACAACTGAACTGAACTTGTGCTAGATCAACACTATACTTCTAATACACTCCGGTTTCCCCGAAATATCCTTTATTATTATTATTATTATTATTATTATTATTATTATTATTATTATTATTATTATTATTATTATTATTACTATTATTTATTTATTTATTTTTCGAATTTTAGCCAAAATAACTTCAAGTGCCCTTAGTTTACCATTTCTTTTTGTAATTAGCAACACATTATTGATACAAGTGGTCCATGTGGATTCAGATGGTGAAAATGTTTTCGAGAATATTGGGATTAGAAGTTTGAGAGTGAAGCCTTTAGATCAAAATATTTTCTATTTCACAAACAATATCTTTATTTTCTCCTCCTCACTTTTCTTTTTAAATTATGGTACTAACCTCGAAGCAAAACAACTTTCGAAGTTAAGCATATGAAATCAAGTTATGTATTACCGCGCTCCTTTTCTTTCCCAGTAGATTAGTTATTCCATATCAAAGCATAAATAAATAAATAAATATATATATATATATATATATATATATTACAAAACTTAAATGTGGGTTCAAATGTAGTCGATAGTCATTTTTTCTCCTTTCTTTACCTCCCTTTGTTACAACTTACAAGCTTTTCCCACCCCCAGAAAAGTTTTTAAATAAAAAAGGACAAATAAAGAATCACTTTATGCTTTATCCATTCCTGCCCGACAATAACTAAGTATAAATACTTTTTAGGTTCCAAAAAGAATAACGAGCCTTAGAATAGATGACCAATCATTTAATTGTAGTGTAAAGTTAGACGTAAATTGTTAAATCTTTCTAACAAAATACATGTGCAGAAAATACATAAAAATTACAAACAAAATTTTTCTTTTAATATCTAAAATAATTTAGAAAACATTCAATAGTTAAATTTGGACAGACATTATTTTGTGGCAATGGTAGTTTGGTAAATACTGGCAACATGAACACCATTTCACGAAAAAGCCAAAAATACTTAAAATCCATTGTATCCCGCGCTATTGTGAGTCGTCGAACTAAAATAGTGGTATGGTAGTAGTAGTTAGAACTTACAAGAAAGAGAAAGCAACTTGTTATTTTTTCTCTATATATATATAACTAGGAGAAGAAGAAATATACCAATTACCATTGACAAAGTTGTAAGCAATGGCGAAGTCGTTTAGTTCCATTTTCATCATCTCTTCGCTATTAATCACGCTATTGATTATCTCCGGTGAATCTACCGGCGGCGACTTCGACATGAGCGGATGGATTCCGATGAAATCAGCCGACAGCTGTCAAGGTTCGATAGCAGAGTGCATGGCCGCCGGTGAATTCGAAATGGATTCAGAGAGCAACCGGCGCATTTTAGCAACTGATGATTACATAAGCTATGGTGCTCTGCAGAGGAACACTGTACCCTGTTCTAGAAGAGGTGCTTCCTATTATAACTGCCAGACAGGTGCTGAAGCTAATCCCTATACCCGTGGCTGCAGTGCTATTACTCGTTGCCGGAGTTAACGGTTATATCGGTTTATAAATCTTTTTTTATGATTTATCTGCTCTTTGTTAATTAATTAGTATGTAATTGTTTTGATTTTACTGTTTTTGTTAGAATAAATCTTGTATGCGTATTAAAATCCTGTGTTTATAGTTTATATATAGTGGTTTCTTTTCAGTTGCTTCTAATAAAGTGATAGTGATGCTCGGGCTGTAATTCTGTTTAATGCAATGTTCATTGGTACTTGTTAAATTCATTCTGGAACTGATTGCTTGTGAGTTCTCTATCAAAATCGAATAATTTTTTTTTAACTACGGTTTTAAATATTTCGAAACTATAACAGTTGTCTTGGTACATTTTATTTAGTTTTAAATCTTTAAATTTCTTTTGAAGATAAATTAAACGATTGATGTCAAGATTTACAAAAATTAGATACACTAGTTTGTCAATTGCCCTGTCTTCTTTTATTTTATTTATGTCAAATAGTTTAGCTAAGGGATTCAACCTGCAGGTTCAGCAACACATCTGTTTGCTTTATCGCCTTATAGCTTTAGAAGTAGTGATGCTCTTATGTAATAGCGTGTGCACATCACGAGTTCGAATCCTAAGTTGATATTTAATTGGAGATTGCGAGGCATATTTTCCACCAAACTTCAAACTGTTATAAAAGAAAAGAATTACGTATTAGGAAGGATAACTTAGGGAACATAATTATCTTTTTAAGGGCTATCGAGCTTCTAAATGTTAGCCCAAGATTTGACTTTTCGAAACATCACAAAAAAGGTCATATATTTTGACAGAGAATTAGGAAAGTGGAGTAACCTTTGGCATAACAGATAGAAGATTTTGAATTAATTTTTATATCTTCCACCAATATAAGTTTTAGATAACTCTAGCTATCAAAACTTAGATAGATGCTAATAAGTCGCAAGCAAAACGCAGCCATCCTCCCAGCCAGGGACGGATTTAGGAGGGCGCAAGGGTGTTCACCCGAACACACTATGTATATAAGAAAAAATTTGATTTTTACCTCTATATAGAAAAAGAGAAAAAGAATTCTGAGCTGCGACGCCTGAATGACACAACCTTCAAATCTTTACAGAAATCTTGTTTATCCAAAATAAGAAACCCTTGTAGATTCTATCAAAGCAAATAAGTTTTTACTAGTTTTACAGCGTATCTATCAGATTAATGCATTTTCTGAAGATTTCATCACAGCTCGTGTTAGAAATTCGATAATAAAAGAAAAAGAAATATAGAAAACAGAAGTTTTGAAGCCTGATATTATCACTGACTCAAAAGAGTGGTTGTTTGACCTTTTGAATTAACCTAGCTAGAATACTAAACCTATTATGATTGCTTTTAAAAATGTTTGATTTGAAGTGAACCATAACAGTTAATTAGGTTCTGTTATATAGTGCATGGATAATAGCCTGTTTGGCCAAGCTTCGAAGTAAAGTGTTTGGCAAAATATTTTTTTTAAAAAGTGCTTTTGAAGAGGCAGAAACAGTTTTAGAGAAGCAGAAAAAAATAGCTTATCTCTAAAAATATTTTTTTGAAAAACACTTTTGAGAAAAATACACTTAGAAACAGTTTTTAAAAGCTTGGCCAAACACTAATTATAGCTCAAAAATATTTTTTAAATTAATTAGCCAAACACAAACTGCTTCTCGCTAAAAGTACTTTTGAGAAAAATATTTTTTTTAAAAAAAAACAGCTCTCAAAATAAGCTGATTTTTATAGCTCGGCCAAACAGGCTATAAATTTGATCCTTTTTCCTTGAGCTAAAAAATCAATGTGTTGAAAAACTTAATCAATCAATAAGTGCAAATTTAGCCCATTTTGTAACAGAAACCCAAATAGTTACGAAACAAATATGAACCACTTCGCAAATTTGGACATTTAAATCCGTTATTTCGTGGGTAGCGTATAATATTAAAAAAAAAATTGGATACCGGCTGAAATTTGGATTTCAAAGCTGCGTAGTTATGAAAATTCCCCTCAAGATTACGACGGTTAAGCCTTGAGGAAGAGAGATACACAACAGTCCAATAGGAAAGAAGGATCAAGTGGCATCAACGACGCCCAGCATGCTATAATTAACCAAAAGCGGACTTGATACAATTAAACCACACGTATAAATAAAAAGAAAGAAGGCTGACCTTTTGAAATTTCAAGTCTAATTCAGATTTATGCTAATGAATCCTCAAATGAAAAAAACACCATAGAATATTTCATCCTTAATTCCATGGGCCATGATCAATGAGGGGTGGTCGTTTGTATGTATTTTAGAATCTAAGATGGTGGTTGTGACCAGCTTTGTAAATTTGTTGTATGCTATCTAAACAAAGTAAGGATTTAAAATTATTCTAGCAAATTAACAGAATAACCAAAAACTCCTCTCAGTAAAACCAAACGACGCCTTTCTGGTTAGAGCATCAGATTTCAACACTCTGGTGGTCAGGGATGAGGGCAGGTAATTCTGTCATTCGAAGGCATAACCAGTTCTCTGAGAGAAAGCATGTAGTGCTTCATCTGGCCTTCTTCTCAGATGATGATTTATCGGTTGTTTTTCCAACATATGGATATTCCGGAGAACTGATCCATAAACCGCCCAGTATGATTAAATGAACACAGAGGAGGAGTATTGATGAGTAACTGTTGGAGGGAAAGATATTCCAGCAAAACTCAACAGCTGCGAACAACATTAAACTGCAGAACAGCACTAAACTTGTATAAACCTGGAACAGAAATTACCATAAAACTAAAGCAAATAAAGAAGCTTGAGTATCAAATTGAATACCGTAGGAGGGCTGGAAATGGCGTTTTCCACAATAAATATGGTAAGCTATAAAAGTACCTGCAAACAAGATCTAGGTCAAACATCAATGGTTTTCTCTTAGTTCAACTGAAACCTGACATAGAATCCAGGAAACCAATGAAAAAGGGAGCAATTTTCCATCTGCTTGGCTAATGTTAATCAAGGCTTTTTATGCCTTGTTTTGGTACCATGCTAGTAGATGGAGTGGGGGGTTGAGTTTTGGGATCTTCTTCTTTTCCTCTAGAACAGTGTGCGACTGATTCACCAGAAAAAATTAGATAAAAGATGGCTTAATTACTCAATGAGCAGTTTAAAAATTAAATATTTATCCCTTAAGTTAAATGCAGGCTGCATGTCCCCAACGCTTCGGTCGAGTGGTAAGAGCGCAGCGCATTATGTGTGAGTTAGACCCACGTCGGGGTTTGAACCTTGCCGCAGACAAAAAGCCTGCTATTTAAGTGGAAAAGGGTAAAACGGCGGTCCCACATCATCCGCCGAGTTTCAAACCCTGCGCCACTGACCCTTGGAGATTTCTCGATTATCAAAAAAGAAAAAGGTACATGCTGGCAGTTCCGTTAACACCTTATAAATGTATCCCAAAGTTCTCCATTCTTCAAAGGGATGCTGAGGAATCTGAAGTTATTACTAGGCTGGTCTGGAAAGTGGAAAGCTCTATTCATTTTAGTATCTCACAATAATTAAGTTAGAATATGACAGTTTATCATTAAAATAAATTCCAACAATACATTTCGGCTAGTGTTTGGTTCCTCACAAAAGGAGGTTGATATTGGTCCTCTTGAAATATGTGATGTACTTTTACGCCAGCACCTAGCTCAATAGAAACATGAGATCATAAAAGCATTGCATCTATCATAAGCTGAATGTTAACAGTTCAAAGAGTCAAACTAATGTATCATTTACTAAAGCTTTTCAAATATTTCCTTATAAAAAAAACTATTAAAGCTTTTCAAGTATTTAAAATGTGAAAAGTTGCATATTTTAATACTTTATGTAGTTTATTTTATTTTAAACAAACAATTTAGTCATCTTCAAATTCACTCTGGAGATTAGTTTAGTCGCCCCTTAATAACCACTTGAAGACATTTGATTTAGCAGGGAAGCTTCAGAGAAAAGATGTGTAAATGAAGGAGTATGAGATAGAATCCATAACCTAAAGAAAAAATAACAAGCTGCAGAACCTACCAAGAGTAAAATTGGAAATGGAGGGATCGGGCACATATAATGCCAATGAAATTCCCGACAAACATAGTTGTCACAATATCTGAAAATAAAATAGACGTAGATTCAATTCCGGAACCATAACATGCCAAATCAAGCAAAAACTAGTGACACTTTAATAAACTTGATGGCCTTTAAGTAAAGAGAAACCAAAAACAGAATGAGCATATTACTTACGGTCAGTTTGAAGGACTCTGTTTGTCGGAGACGTATTTCTGTGAGAAAATCTAAGCTTCAGTTGAATGATTTTAGAATGCACGACAGCAAACAGTCCACCTTCATGCCTGAAAAAGATGAAAAAAGAAAATTGCAGTCCAATGGCAGCTATCATTACCAGGGTGTAGAGAAGAAAAGGTCATGTGATGTTAACTTGCTTCTACAACTCAAAATATGTCAGGAAGTTCTGAATTTATATTATGGTTCCTGAGCTTACACTTGAAATAAAAATGGTTATCATATTATGACATTTCTTCTCCCACTTCAACACTTGGAATAGCATTATAGTAATGCTACTACATTCGCTGTAATAATAACATGAGAAATACTCACCTACACCATCTGTAATGAGCAAAAATCAACAGCAGACTGAGATGAGCAACTAGCAAGGAGAGAGCAAAAGCTTTAGAAACAAAGATTTCTTCAGGAACAAATTTGAAGTTAACAGACCTGCAACAAAGCAGAGTTACGATAAACAGTATTTTCTGAAGGAATAGAAGAAAAGCGCGAAATGAGCATAATCTTGCAGAAACGCAGATGGTAGAAATACAGTTCTCAATGTCAGATTATTTTAAAGGTGCGCCAAAGCAACTTAAAATCCAATTAGAATCAGACAAAACTTAGTTTGAAGATAATGGTAGGTTTAGGGTGAGAAGTGGCCTATTAAGAGGAAATGGGGCAAATATCCTTTTGCTGTCTATGTCAAGCGAAAGAAAATGAGCCTCAAACTCAACAGGGATGAGATAGAGAAGAAACTACACCAGCAAGTAAGAACATGCATCTCCTACATTTAGCAAACAACACCAATGTGTTGTTTAATGGCGTTTGAGGTAAAATTTGCATGTAATACAACAATGCTGTTTCACATGATGATATTGCATGTTGATACAAAGGCTTGTCAAGTTGATAGTTCCATAATCTCTCATCACCATAGTTTTCCAAAAATAATTCCAGAAGTAATATTATGGGGGATGTCATAAAATATCCTGGGGCAAACTGTTTATTTGTCTTGCACAACAAAAGAGATTTATCGAAATATAAATAAATAGATAAATAAATAGTTTGCCCCAACAAAAGAGATTTATCGAAATATAAATAAATAGATAAATAAATCAAGAAAGGGAAGCCAGCAATTTTAAAGTGCATGATATTTTCAAATGGTGCCTCAGAGTACCAAATTTGCAAACATAATGTATTTAAAATGTACCAGAAGTGGATGAAAACACGACCAAGATCGAAAGCTTTTGATATATATGAAGCTGGATGTGACAGGATAAAAGGCAGCCCGAGGAGAATCTGCACCAATCACCAATCATCATGGTCATTGGTAAGCAATTTGATCAGAAGATGCTCCATTCAACAGAATTATACTTGTCGCTTGACTCACCTACGCATATGAACCACAAACTCATAAGAGGATCTCTGAGGAAAAAATAGAAAACAATTATAACAATTAGAAAAATGCTCAAGAGCATCAAGGATGGAACATATAGATCAAGCAAATGTTAAAAGTTACAACATCATGTGATTCATGAGTAGCAAAGGAAAATGATTCCTTGATCCCGGTGCAATCATAAAGCTTCCCTACCAAAATAAGGGAACATGCTAAAACTATTTCTCAAACATTAACAAAGAAGTGAAGAACACAACTGCAGTACTGAAGACAATAATAAGAGTAAAGATGATAAATATAATTCAGAAATAGTAAGCAATTCCATAAGGGATTTCTGAAGTAAGTTATTTATCATATTATGTTATTATTAATCAAGGATTTCTTATATAGCTAGAATGACACTCACAAATTGTGAATAGTAATTTCTTAATAATTAATCGGATTGAGGATATGGCGTCATCATTCGCTGGAATTGAAATATTTGCGAGACAAATAAATCCCTCCTAGAATTTTTTGTTCCATGCGTCTGTCCCCCCGCTTCCTTGTCTAGTATTTAGACAAATTAGACTTTCTTTCTATTTGAAAACTATTGATACGTCTTATGGCATTGAAATCTGTCAATAGTAACATAGTTACACTACTTCAATAAAAAAAACGCTACACCGCTGAACATCATGGCATTAGGAATTAGAAAGGAAACTTGGAGAATACCCACCTGCACTAATGCAGCACCTGCTAAAGCAGATATCACTCCAACAATATCCATTGCCTGTATTTCAAGTTTCCACATATAACACAAAAGGTTACTCAGAAATGCAGTTCATAGTCATACTGAGATTGCTAATAACCTTAACTGTCCCAATATTATACCTTCACCATCAGGAGCAACAGAGGTGGTGCATACAGGAGCACATTCATCTTTATAGAAACAGCTCCACTGTACTAAAGAGAGGATCATTGATCAATCTTAACTGATGGCTAATCCACTGATACAAAGCAAAATTAATCCAAAATAAAAATCTCAAAGCTGCGCAAGAATATACCTGAAAATTACCAACCCTAGATGCCATTTTTGACAAATAATTGAGACCAATGCAGCATGGAGGAGAGTAGTGGCTAAACAATCATTAAATAATCGAAGAACAAAGATAGAGTGAACTCTTTTAGACAGAGAAAGCAAGGAGAGAGCCCACCAAGGTACCTGCAGCGCAGTCTAATCGTCAACTCTATTGCCAATTACTTATAGCATATCTAACTCTATCGTCAACTCTATTACCAATTACTTATAGCATATCTAACTCCAATGAAAAGTGATTTGTCCATTTAAAAGATATTCTACCAAGTGAATGAATTCTGAAATTTACTAAAAGTTCATAAAATACAAGTTTCAAGGAAAAAAGCTAAATCAGAAAAAGAGAGAGAAAATGGTAGAAGAAAATAAGACATATGGTAGACATTTTTTTCACAATAGTAAAAACCAATCCTGATTCATTATGAAAAGATATAGATCCCGACAATTTGGTCAAGACTCCCCTTTATGAGAGATGTTTAGACAGATTTTCACAGATGTCCTTATACTAGAACTTCCTCTGAAGTAAGCATAATTAATTGTGGAAATAACTTAGCAAAAACTCCTGATCTCCTGGTATAAGATTTGGATGATATCGATAAAAGATCTCCGTAGTCTCAAGATTGACTTGTTTCTTTCTTTCTTTTTTCTCAGAAATACCTCCCAGCAACATAATAACCTTTTGGCTTCATCATATTTTTCCTCCAGAATCCCGTTGAAGTTCAATTTTGATTTACAGATATCTCCAAAAAATAGCCATCTGTTGATCAGCAGCTTAAAGAAGATGCCTTGTGTCACCAGTCTCAAGTTGTTGTCTAGAAACTCTTTCTTTTTCTTTTCTTTTTGAAATGATAAGGTTTTATTCATAACAGCACTAAGATTGTGTTGGAGACCAGTACATTGTGGCAAAAGTGAGAAGACAAAAGTACATCCCTGTCTAAAACTGTAGGGATCTAGAAACTCATTCTTCTTGAAGTACAATTTCAGTGACATGAATAAAAATAGACAGTCAACACTAACAAATTTCACCACTGTTCAAGTCTTACAACAGTCACAATAACAACTCATTTCAGGAATATATTAGCTTAAAAGGTTACCCACAAAACTTGGAAGAGCCACTCATACATGAAGAGGACACCTACCACATCAGTCTTCAAGTAGATGAACACGACAATTGCTAGATCCAGCATGTAGAGAAAGCCAAAAAGAATCTGCACTGACATGAAAAGATAGAAATCAATAAACTTGCATGCAAGTCTAAGTGACCATGTACTGAAGGACAAAATAGTGTGCAAGGATTATCCAATGACAAGCTGAATATGCCCACATTTTTTTGGATAGGAAATATGCCCACATTATTTCAAAAGTCTTCTACTGGAGTACTAGTTAACTTTTTCCCTCATTCTGGAATCTACTTTAGGTTCCACCATCCAAACAAGCATAGAAGGTATGTTATTGCATTTTTTCTAATTAGTATAGAGTTAGAGGAAATGCAAATATTTGCTTCAGACTATAACTGTCAGGAAAAACTCTCCAGCAGATGGTATACTGCCCAAAGTAATCAGCGGCCTCAAAGAAAAGTGCATCACGATTCACGAGCATGAAGAGCTAGCTAGAGTTCCAAAATTATGAGACAAGGTCGAAGCTAAGCAAAAGTCCAGCTTGTTAGATATCCAACACTGGCAAACACTTTCCTGAGCCGAAAACTTCGAGATGGATTGCTGGTGGTGGTTGGGATCGGTGTTGTATCCCGGCATTTGGAGAGATACAAATCCAAAAGCTATTGCACCAAATCTAGAAAGATTGGTGAATGTTTAAAAGTCCAACACAAATATCTTTCAACCAGGCACCACTATGCCTTCGATTAGGATTGACCTGTTAGGTGCATGATCCTCTATATTATTGCACTCTATTCAGGACCATTTCATTCCAATATTAAAGAATTTTCAAGGTAAATTAGAGGTTTTGTAATCTCACACTTATCCCTACACGGGTAACTAGTTGTTGTTGTAGTCTATCCGGATGCCATGCTTCCATCCTATACATCTGTCTGTTGTTGTTTCTAAAATAGAGTCTGCCGTTTCACTTCAAATTCAGTAACAAAATCTGTTCAATGTTGAGCAGGGACCATCAATTAATTGCATTTGCATTCTCTTTCAAATTAATTTTTTTCTTTTTTTTAAATCACGCTAGTACCTCCTCATGTAAGTTTACTAGCAATCACTGAAACAAGGATTGTACCTCCTTGAAATGGAGAAAATAGGAAAATTACCTGAGCAGGAAAGACTTGACCTCCGGTAACATATTGTATAGCAGAGTAAACATAAAGAAAGCCTGCTGGGTAAACCAGAGGTCCCGTATCACCTTTCAAGTTACTATAGTCCCTCTCTCCTCCGAGAAAGCCAGTAACCTATTCACCAAAAAACAATCAATAAATCAAATCAATAAGCAAAATATCAATCAACCATGCTACAATAGACTCCCTCCGTATTTTATCCGAACCTGTTTGACTTAAAAAAGAAATAACTTCTGAAACTTGTAGTTTTAAACATGTCATGACATTTGTTAAATGTAAAGTTTAAGTTAAATGTTTCCAATTACATAGGAAAGTGTTATTTTTTAAAACAAATTTAAAAATAAAGAGTGTCACATAAAATGTTGAAACAGAGGGATTATTTCATTCCAATACTGGTAAATTTAACTCAAATCTGTGCAGCATTACTGAACAAGAGAAACATAAAGATCAAAATGTTGAATTTGATTGAACTCTCACCTGAGACATATAAGCATCCCAATCAATTTTTGTATCTAAAAAAAAGTAACGAATCACCTCACTAATTAAATTATGATTTGATATACATATAAGAAAATAATTGGAAAGGAAGTTGTGAAAAAGCTGAAAATTTACATGGAACGTAGGCGATGATCAGCGCAACGAGGATGGAATCAGCGAAGAGTAAAGCGAAAGCGAAAGGTATTTTAGGATTTTTAATAAGTTTTTGGAATAAATGGTCCGATCTATGTGAATTTTTGCGTATAGCAGCAGCTGATTTGGCTGCCATGGCTGCTGGCGCACGAGAACTGCGAACTGACAATCTTGACAAAGACGAAAGTCTTAGGATTCGAGATTTCTTTTCCTGTTTAAACGCAGCGTTTCATGGGGTATAGAAGTATAAATTGCTTTGACACCCCTTGAACTATGGTAAATACGATTCGGCCACTTAACGTTTTATTTTTTATTTTGGATCCCCAACTATTACTATTGGGAGTGTANCACCAGTTTTTATACGAAATCTCTGAGGGAGGAGTCTCTCATTGGCTTTGTGCCATGCTCCGAAATGCAACGAGACGGCGCAACTCATACCGAATGAACCATTGTAATTACTTCTACTCATTTCATGTTAGTACACATTGTTCGCCATTTATATTATTAAAAAGAAAAACGATCAAATATATCCCTCTACTTTCATATATTGTATAGATTTAACCTTCGTTATACTATCGGGCCAAATTTACCCCTATCGTTATACTATCGGGTCAAATCTAATTTCTGTCTTAGTCCTTGTAGCTTGTACTCATTTCAAATCTTGGGCTTTGAGTTGGTTTGATTGGTTCAGCTAAGTATCAATTTTGGACTGGGCCAAGCATAGACTATTGTTTGGTCCATCCTCATCCTTGGCCAATTTTAAAGAGAAAATGACGCTCTATGGCCCCTCTAAGAGTTTTTTACGCACTTGATCATTTTTTAACTATTATTTAAAAAAATAGCATCATTTATTATTTATTTCATAAAGAGCATTTTTTTTTCATTATTAGCATATTACAAAAATTAAGCCCAACATTCATCTTCTTCACTCCATTTTTAAAATCTGATGCATATGTGAATGCCACCTAAATTCAAGATGTATTGATTTATACGTCTTTTATACTTTGTATATCAAGTATCACTTTAATTCAAAATGTATTTTTATGTATATTTATTTTTGAAGTGCCATCTTATTTTAAGATGTATTTTTAATGTATATTTCAAATATATTTTATATGTCAAGTGCCATTTTAATTTATGATGTATTTTTTATATATATGTTTTTTGTATATTTATATGCCATCTTAATTAAATTTAAGATATATTTTTTATGTATATTTATTTTTGAAGTGCCATCTTATTTTAAGATGTATTTTTAATGTATATTTCAAATATATTTTATATGTCAAGTGCCATTTTAATTTATGATGTATTTTTTATATATATGTTTTTTGTATATTTATATGCCATCTTAATTAAATTTAAGATATATT